GTAAAGTCCATAGCCACAATCTCTAGTGGTTTTGTCGCTAGTAGGTGTCCTGATGGCTGTCTCATTTTGACAACTGGCATTTTCGCATGCTGACACCTCACACAAGCCTCACAATGGCGTTTGACCTCCATTTCCATATTGGGCCAGTAACACCTCCGTCGTAATATTTTGTGGGTTCTGTCCTGCCCCTGGTGTCCTGCCCTGTCATGTGCCAACCTTAGCACTTCTTCTCTTAACTGTCCCGGCACCACCACCTGGTGTATTGTGCCATCAATTTGGTCATGAATTCTCCGCATGAGAACACCATCCTTTATACTGAGACGGTTCCACTGACTCAGTATTTTCTTTGTTTCTCGACCAAATTGTTCTCTTTCCCTCCTTCCTGGGAATTTTTGTTCCTGGACGTGTTTCAATAGCGGTTGTAAGCCACTATCCGTTCTCTGGGCATCTCTTATCTTTTGGTGATTAAGGCAATTAAAATCACTACTGTCCATATGTTCGGGTTCCGTGGATATGTGCTCCACCCCGGTCTGCCCGTTCTGCATCACTTGTACCCCATGAGGGATATCTGTTGACGCTCTGACCTCACATATTCCTGTCAGTGTTTCTTCCTCATCACCCGGTCTCTCGTAAGGATTCCTTGATAAGGCGTCCGCATTGCCATTGGACCGCCCCGGGCGATACTTTATCTCTAGGTCAAAGAGTGCCAATTCTGCTGCCCATCGCTGTTCGATGGATCCCAACTTTGCTGTCTTTAGGTGACTCAAGGGGTTATTGTCAGTGTATACCACACATTTAGCACCTAATAGATAGTCCCTGAATTTCTCAGTCACAGCCCATTTTAATGTCAAAAGTTCTAGTTTCATGGCGCTGTAATTTGTCATGTTCTTCTCTGATCCCTTCAGAGCTCGACTGGCATAAGCAATAACCCTGAAACCTTGCTTTTGTTGTTGTGATAGCACAGCTCCCAGACCTTTAGAGCTGGCGTCGATTTCTAACCGAAATGGTTTGTCAAAGTCCGCGTATCCCAATATCGGTGCCTCTGTCAAAGCCTTTTTCAAGAGCTTAAACGAGTTCAGGCATTCATCAGTCCATAATTCACCTATCAGTTGTGTTTTACCTTTCTTTTTCTCCTTACTGTGTTTCTTTGTCATTTTGTTTACCAAGTCATGCAATGGTGCGGCAATTTTTGCAAAACCCGGCACAAATTTTCTATAATAGGAAGCAAAGCCCAAGAATGACCTGACCTCTACCGTAGTTGTTGGTTGTTTCCATTCTTTAACAGCTGCAATTTTATCTGGGTCAGTGGCGATGCCATCCGACGAAATCACGTAACCCAAAAAATGTACCGATTTCAAACCAAAGCAGCATTTGTCTGGGTTCAGCTTTACTCCTATCTCCCTAAGACGGAGAAACACTTGTTCTAATCTTTTTAGATGGTCCTCCCAAGTTTTTGAGTAAACTAGAATATCATCCAAATACACCAACATTATTTGAAATAGAAAGTCACTCATAGCACTCTGCATTACTCGCTGGAATGTAGCAGGTGCATTAGTTAGACCAAACGGCATACGGGTCCACTCGTACAGTCCCAGTGGAGAAATAAATGCAGTTTTATGTTGATCGTTGGGGTGCATGGCCACTTGGTGGTAGCCACTGGCCAAATCCAAGGTAGAAAAAAATCTTGCTCCCCCCAACGCATCAAGACATTCATCAATACGAGGCAAGGGGAATGCATCCCTTCTTGTGATATTGTTCAATTTCCGGTAATCACAACACAGTCTTATCTCCCCTGACTTCTTTTTTACCACTACAATCGGTGCCGCATATGGGCTCGTACTGGTTGTAATAATTCCCTTTTTTAGTAGATCGTTCAGGTGTGCTTTCACCGCAGAGTAGTGACTTGGTGGCAATCTTCGATAAGGTTGCGCCACCGGCTTGTCTTGTAGTAAGGGTATCTGGTGTTTTATTACTTCCGTGTACCCCAAATCACCCTCATACGAGGCAAATATATCACTGTATTTCTTCAGCAATTCATTTAGTTTTGGGTCCTCAGTTTCCGGGAATGTATATGATCGGCCATCTTCTTTCTTCACCTCGGCCGTCACATTGACCGACCTAATTGTTACTTCATTACTACTGGTATTGATCAGTTCGATGCACTGTGCCGACCTTTGTACCTCGACGTTCTGTGGTACTCCTACCAGAGTGTTAGGCGGTATAAAAATTTCTTCATCCAAAACATTTGCTACCAACCCTTGAACTAGTCCGTTTTCCGCTGATGTGTATGTCCGCAGTAACACGACGCCTGCCCTCAGTGCGGCGCCACATGGTTCTATCATCACATCACCATTCACGCTTCTATCACCAATTTGTAATGTGATTGCCTTGACCGTGTTTGCCGGGACTGATATCCTTCCTCTGGTCTTTGCAAACCTGGCCAACTTGGATCCCCGACCTGGTGTGGTCGATCCGACAATATTTGTAAGAAATTCTGGCAACTGGCCAAGAATATTCATACCCAACAGGCAAGGTATATTTGACACATTTGTCTCTAGGTTGTGTTTCGTAACGAACACCCCAACCTGCTTCAACCTATGTCCTGCCACCACGACATCCGCCAGAAAATAACCACAGTATGGAATGGTTAGTCCATTAGCTGCCGTCAGGCGCATGCATGTGTCAGACCTCAACCTATGGTCTTTTCCTTTCATCCATTTGGTGTAAAAATTTTCCGTGATTGTCGTCACCTGGGAGCCTGTATCCACAATTGCCTTCACCGCGATGTCCCCAATCGTAATCACCATTTCGGGACAGACTCCCATCATTTTGCTTCTTGGGCCATAACCTCGCCCCTCTGTAGCCTGGCCCTGCCTTACAGAGGACGACCGTTTCCCTGGCAGTACCGTGCCATATGTCCGGGTTGTGAACAAGACAAACAAATTGGTCGACCGTCTGCCGTCCATTGGAGTGATGGCTTGGCAGGACGCGGCCGTCCAACCCGTCCCTGTTTTGTCCCGTTCTTTTCCTGATTCTCAGCTGTTGACCTGCCTTCCAACCTCTCCAAACGTTGGTCAACCTTATCTAGGTGGGCCAACAGTTGAGCCATCATGGTCTCCATCGTGTCGGCCCCTGTGGGTGGGGATTGTCTCTGTTCAGGCACAGAGACTTTGTCCACCGAACAGTTCGATTGGTCCTCATCCTCGGACCTGCGGATCGCTGAGTTCCTGACCTGAAGGAAGGTCAACTGCTGGTCTCTGTGGACCTCCTCTTTCAACTCTCTCCTTAGGATCGGGGTTGCCAGCCCCTCGATGAAATGGTCCCTCAGTAGGCGTACATCAATGTCCGGTGATTTGCCCTTTACCAAATCAAAGGCCCTGTTCATCCTGTGTGAGTACTCCATCACACTCTCCGCCATTCTCTGCTTTAAGCCCACGAATCCCGATAGCAGTTGCACTCCCGACCGTCTCTCCCCAAAGGTCTCCATAATCAGATCCAGCACCTTATCTGGATCTGATTGGACGGTCCTATCGTGGCACTTAACCTCTGCCCTAACCGTTTCACCTATACTGCCCATCAGCAGTCTTAATCTTTCCTCTGGTGACATATGTCTCGAGGCCCAGGCCGCTTTGACCTCTTCACTGAACCTGTTGGTTAAAGTTGGGTCTCCGTCCCCGTAAAATTTGTTAATATGGGACTCTCTGGGTAGGACCACTATATGGGTCTGCTTCTCGTCCAGAGTAGACATTTTCTTCCTTAAGTACTAAAAAAAAAGAGTTCTTTCTTACCGTGTGTGTATGAAAAATTTTTCCTCGTTCCTCAATTTTCACAGTTCCTGAATGTCCGAATTCACACACACACTAAACACAGTTATGCACAAGGTTGACTATAGGTGCCTTAAACGGCAAGTCTAGTTGAATTCATCCTGATCGCAGCGCCAATTGTGACGAGCGAACATTTATCCTGCCGACAACGCCAATTGTAACGAGCCAACAGTTACCATGCTCGCAACGCCACATGTAATGAGACCTAATTGCCTGTAGTGCCACGTGTTAACGAGTTTAACCACTCATTCTAGACAACATTGACCACAGTATAGATACTCAAGATGCAGGTTCGCTATTGATCCTTTATTACATGAATCAAGAAATGCTTCATAATAACACAATAAATCAACAGGAATGCTTCTCAATAATAGTCTGAATCAACTGACCCCTAACAGTCCTTCACTAGGCTTTATATAACTGAATCCACATGTCTATAATCCTTCTTAACACAATACGGCTAACCCGTTCTATAACCGACTTGACATAGTCACACAGACTGACTGATCTAAGCGAGCGATGAAGATGGAAGAGAGCTCGCTGAAACGGGAAGAGAGAGAACGAGTCCTGCCGTGCCCTCCTATTTATGCCTTGTATCCGTACTCGTCCCCGTACTTGTATTCCTCCGTAATCGATACTTGTACTCGATCTCCGACCACCAGTTGCGTAGTTCAAACGTACAGACCGTAAAATAACATCTGCGTCCTATCCATCAAAGCCGACAGGCCGTCTGAATACCGTTTCCCAAAATAGCACGCGCCGGCTTTGAGGTTGTTATCAGCCCGACCCAATAAGCCACCTGTTATCGGTTGCATCAGACCAACACTGTGTCTCGGCTTCTCGTTCGTTATCATTTGTAACTGGTAGTTAGGCCTACCCCAGTTACATATATATATATATATATACACATGGGGATCAAAATATTTTTTTTTTTTGCGGGGGAGCCTTTTTCTCTAGTTCCGCCACTGCCAAGACTTTAGTGATTTCCTATTGACGTTTATTTAAAATTCACATTTTTACTGTTTATTGATTGGTGAAACCAAAGCGAAAATGCTTAAAAAATAGCATCGTACTTTAAAATTTGGTTTTTCAAAAAAAGATTACCGCAAACAAGGTCAGTCATTTCGTCACACAAGGTCATTTTGACGGTGAAAAATTCTGACTCACCTTTACTATTGCACCACACTACACAGCTACACCCATTCTAAAAACAGCAGTGATGCAACGTCGCGACATCCACTTTTGTCTGTTAACTCATACAACAAACAAGAAGAATTAGTTCTCGGACTAAAAGCTTCTAAAGTCTAGGAAGTAGGCTATAGGTCGTTTTAAACTTAGAATATAATAAGAAGAAAAATAACTGTATATCTATAGAGTAAGTAGTCTATTATCGTAGTAAGGCTGTGTTTTCATGTGTATATTTTTACCTTATTTGAATTAATCAGTCTTTATGTGTAGATCATAATCAGTCAGTTTTTTTTTAAATTTCAAATGCTATTATTTTTACCGTACTTTATAATGTTTGTATATATAACAAATGTTTTGAATATTTCAAGATTGTGTTTGAAAAGATATTGATCTGGGCCTCTAAAGATACAATAGCATACATTACACATGTCGGCGGAGGGGTGGGGAGTTAGAAATCGATTAATCAATATAATCATGTACTCTAATACAATATTATAATCACATATATAGATGTAATAGAAGTATTATATATATATATATATATATATATATATATATATATATATATATATATATATATATAGTGTTTTAATAAAATATCTCAGCACTCAATATGTAGTGGTGGGGGGGTCGTAAAATGTTTAATTGGTCTGGGGTTTCAACAATTTTATTCTATGTTATATACATTTGAGGTGGATGAATTATGCTCTACTATTTACATTATCGTATTATTATAAATACATAAGTACATAACATATATGGGCAGCAAGTAGGTCAATAATTGAATTGTTGAATCTCATATTTCTCATAAATTTAAAAAATCGAGGTGAGCCACCATTACCTCCAATTGTCAATAACACATACAATGGTTAGGTTAAACACCAACCTACACCAACTATGTAAAAATTATGTGAACTATTATTTTCCATCTTTCATCAATTATTTAATTTTGTTAATGCTAGGGCAACTACTAAACTCTCATTTCCCACCAATAAATCATATGTTAAAGGTCATCACAACTTCCCTATTGCCCACCATTAGTATAACAATAAGTTAATACCTAGTCTCTGTTTCCAGCCAATATTTCCTACTGCCATACATGAATGGCCTAATATATTAAAACCTGGGTCTTAAACCAAAATCCATTAAAAACTCATCTGCAATACAGAAACCCACTATTCACATGAACAACCACTTATAAAAATGTATAGCAGCTGATAGAGAATCCAGCACTAAACACAAATGACAAAGAATCGCTTCATTGACAAGTTACAAAGCCATCTATGCTAAGTAATATTCATTTTTAAACTTAAAATTTTACATTTTTTTTAAATCATCCACCATCTTTCCCCACCTTAATCTATCTAATTTTTTTTTGCGCTTCTAAATCAAACAACTTCCCTACCAACACGATAAACATCTGCTTGTAAATCTACTATATTGTTACACCAAAGTTAATTCAGCAAAAATTGAGTGTCACCTAAAGTACCTTTTTGCTTACTGGATGGAATCATTCAGTGCTTGTAAAAGTATTTAATTAGTTAGTGAAAAACTGACACAGATATCTAGAAAGGTTGCAAGTTGTATTGGTCGAGCTCCATCAGATGTCTATCGAATCGTTCTGCATTTCTCCCACCCATACCCCAGCAATCATCTCCTGACGCCACTGGTGAAAAGACATTTATATTTGTTTTATGTGTTCTTTATAATTTACCTACTATTTATATTGTGTGTGGTCTACATATAAACTTCCTAAATATATCAGAGTATTAAGTATATATTTTATGAACATTCTCTTTTTATTCATTTTCTCATATTTCGTACACTACATAAAATTATTTTTCTTCAGAATGAATTTGGCTGTGCTGTTGTTAATGAATTTAGCATGTGCTGCGTTAGTCTGGGGTGTTTGTGACAAAGGGGATTGTGTCCCTGGAACTTTCTTTAACACAACCAGCAACATGTGTTGGCCGTGTGGACCAGAAGAATGGTCAAACTACACAATTCACAGATGTGAGAGCTGCAAGAAATGTTCCAGACCCGAAGAGAACGAGGAGGTTGTGGCTAATTGCACAGCTGACAGAGATACGGTAACAAAATGTAAACCCGGCTACAAAAAGGAAAACGGCAAGTGTAAGCGAGGTATGGTTAAGATTTAATTACAATATAATCTGCTTCTTTATTTAGTATCAACGGGCTAGTAACTTAATTTCTTATGTTTTAATAGTATGTATTTTTCTGGAGACTATTTTGAACAAGATTTCATTAAGATTCAGTTTAATCAAAAGGATGTTTTGTGTATCTTAGAGATGAGCAAAGGATGGTCAACAACTCTTTCTCCTAAGTGGACATTGAACACAACACCGGAAACTATCTCAACAGCAAAAGAGCAGGAAAGTGGCAGTGATGATTTGTCTACGGGGAAGGTTGTTGGTATAGTGGTAGGCTGTATTGTTGGTGCTGGTGTTATTCTTGGTGTAGTTATTGCTGTGATATGCAGCAGGAGAAGACGGAACAACAGAAGTAGACAGCCCCAAGACAGACCACAAGAGTCTGACAACACTGCGAAAACACTTCTGTAGACGAATTTTGGACAGCAAGTTCAGTATTACAAAATCTTGCCAACTATAGCCTTCATTGTAAATAATCATTTAAAAAATAATTAAAACTTTTGACCAAAAATAAGAAATCTTAAACTAGCTTCAGGTGATATGGGAAAGTTTCTGCAGCGGTTTAGTGGATTTTTAAGAAACTATTATAATTTTAAAGTAAATAGTTATTAATTTCAAAGATATTTAGTCATTTTTAAAAATATTTAGTCAATATTCTTAACTTCATATTTTGTATGTGCCAGTAATAGAATATAATTAAATCGTTTGTTTGTCAATGATTTGATTTGACAATTTTACTTTTTTTTATTTTTGCTGCTTAATACATATTTGCCGAAAGAAAATTGTCCACAAAACCTATTTTAAAAATTATACTCACCTTTTCAATAGCAATAATCCACATTTGATGTCGTAGACTGCACTCCTACCTATATATATATATATATATATATATATATATATATATATATATATATATATATATATATATATATACATCAGCAGTCATCTAAAGTAACAGCAACCCACCCAGTCTGCTGATATTTTTAGTAAGCTACTATCTACAAACATTAAGTATTGCAGATTTTAAATACATGCAAGTAGTGATTGTTAAATTGAGCGAGCGTATCTATTCGTATATATATATATATATATATATATATATATATATATATATATATATATATATATATATATATATATATATATATATATATATATGCTTCCGTTATCTTAGAACAAATTATCTTAGACAAAATATCTCAGACAAAATATTTTTAGTAGGCTATTTAGGTTGTTTTTAGTCGAATTAAGAATTTTTTTAAAGAATTGATTGTCATTGGGTTTTATTTTTTATAAATAATTGTGAAAATGTTTTGTCGCATGGGCTTGTCACATTATATTACATTTATTAAAATTGCGATTACAAATATAATATCGTAGATTAAAATAAAGTTTATATAGACAGTGTTCGCGTCTTGCCAAACTTGAGACAATCCTACCACATCAGGTTTATGAATCTAGATCAAAGGGTTAGCTCATTTATGGATGAAAGGACTAAAAACACACCTATCTAGCAAGGTGACCACTCGCTTAGTTGGCTGAGACATACCCTATGGGAGAACATACTCGCTTTCCTTTGAAATACAACTATCATTTAAAGTCAATAAATGACAGCGGTAATTGTGGATCAAAGTCAATCATAGTGTGCATGGTTACAAAGGAGGATTATTGGTGATTACCAGCAATTGGCTCTTTCGTTACATCACAGTAATGAATCTGAACTTTTTAAAGGTCAGATTTACACTAGACAACAGCGAGCTAAGAAAACTTAACGTTACAATTTTTGATAATGATGCAATAAAACATTATTTTTAAAATAGGATCCTGAAGAACTAATCACCTTTTTGAAAAGTATTTCGTGTTTTAAACATTAATGTGACCAATGCTTGCATCATTTTATTTGATTGCATATAAAATGCTATTTTAAAAATTAAGTTTAGCTCATTTATTTAGTATGAATATCTTATAATTATCATAGGTGAAAAAAAGCAAATTAAAATGCGATGATTTAAAAAAAGTTACAATTAACTTAAATCCTGCTAAAGAAATTATGTTTGAGATAATTTTTCTATTATTATTTGCCCAAGGTATCATTTGTCCTGATGTATTTTGTCCTGAGATCTTTAGTGCGTGATATTGGGATTATTTTGTCCGTGAGATATTTTGTCTAGGATCATTTGTCTTTTCACCATATATATTTATATTATATATATATATATATATATATATATATATATATATATATATATATATATATATATATATATATATATATATATATATATATAATATATATAAATATATATATCGAGAGAGAGAGATGAATCATGATCCTTTCCCTCTCCTGTACAGTATGCTGGACAGTGGGGTCAGCACTAAGGCGAACCTCCGTTGTTTCCCTAATGTTAGACAGTACCATCCTAAAGACTCGACCCGGGGATCTGAACTCGAGACTTTAAGTTTAGCATTCTTGCGTTCTACCTTCTGACCAGGGCTTCAAGTATTATGTATATAGAAATTGGATGACAATAGTGTTATGTATACATATTACCATTGTTATTGATTTTAAATTGATTAAGTGTGTAAACTTTTTTTTTAAAAAGAGTGTATTAATTATGTTAAGACAAACATAAAGGATAAATGGTGTAACATAATTGATTAGGCGTTGTTGAAATAATCATGCTTCAAGGATGTTGTTAAAATTCTTGAGTTATCTTGATACTGATATGTGTCTATTGTCTACATGTACTTAATGAAATTGAACAAAGTAAAGGAAGTTATCTTGAATTTCAGCAGGATAATGCATTCAAATGGTAGTAAGTGTTTTAAGTTTGTTTCAATGGAAATCATTTTATCTTTAAATAGTTTTAGAGAAAGATGCATCTTTATTTTTTAATGTCATAAATGGTTTTGGCTCTAGTTGTTTTAATCAAAGAAATAATTATATTAACTTAAATGATATCCAAATAAAATATTACAAATTTGCTTTTTGTCGATGATGGAGGTGATGAAGAGCAGGGATCTGTATGCCAGCATTTGATTTTCTTTGTACTCATTGTATTTTGACAATTTAATCGATGTATGTTCAATCTGACAATGCCTTTTTCTTTGAAATAAATATATAAAGTTATTAAACTCTTACTCGTGAAGATTTAAGCAACAGTTTTCGCAAAAAACAGTGTGATTTTGTTTTTAAATACTATCACCATTTATTTTATTTTTTATTTATTTAAATGTTTTAAGTTTTAAAACTATAAATGATACTTGGTGAGTCAAAAATATATCAATGAGTGTCATTTCATCTTGTAACATAATGCCTAACATTTCATGTATCGCTCGTACTATCAGAAGTACCGTTGCTTTTAATAAGCTTACATTTTAAAATATATTAATGATCTAGAGAATTTAGAAAATAATGGCATACATTTTTAAATACATTTAAGAAACAAAAATTGAGTTAACTCGTTCATTTTAATCTGCAAGTGAATTTTTTAAAACTTATTTTTCCCCAAATAATTGTGTTACTTTTTTCTTAACTATATTTTAAATGTAAGATTTGTAAATGCAACCACAACTCAAAGACTTGTGTTTGTTTTTTTAAATTGAAATGGACATTGGCATTATGGTCAAGTCAATTTATTTCTTTGTCAAACACTTTATTTAAAAATATAACCAAATTTCAATAACCTCAATTTTTTTTTCTCTTTTATTTTTATATTATGAACTATTATGAATGCTTAAATCTGGGGACAGCAACACTCTAAGATAGACAAATCAAAAATCAAACAACTGCTGCCCTGTGGTTAGTTTATGGTTGAACAAAGGCTATAGAAGCAAAGTCCAGTGAGAAAAATATGGTTCAAATCGGAGTCAACGTTATTTAGGCACATATCAACTTGACACGTTATACTGAAACATGTCAAATTTTCAGACTCGGGAATCGATGACTTGACAATAACCTAGAGGCGAATCAGAAAAATCAATACTTCAATCGAAACGGGCTGGATATTTTAATAGGCTACTATATTCTTCTTTCCTTGGAAAAGGCAAGTTCAGATCGATTATTGGGTTGGTTTTTTTCAAGTTATTGATTTATTATTTAATAAAAGATCAGTGTTCGTGGACTTTGTAAAAAAAAAATAAAGAAATGCCTGTCTAGATTGGCGCTGACGTAGCATTAGATTACCAAGATCAACGTAAATAACTGAAATCACCACTGTGACACGTATAATAACAGGCACGTCCAAAAAAACACATGTAAAAAAGTCAACAAAATCATGATTTTATAAACCAAAATAGTGAAAGAGAAATACAAAAGTAGAACAAAGTTTTAAAATACAAACCACAGCTACTGAGTATGCCTATGCAAAAATAAACCAGGAGTGATCTTCACTAAACTTTCTCGAATATTCATATATAAAACAACAGGGGATGGGAACTCGGGATATAGACATGATTTTTAATCCATTTTAAATACTTAAACTTTTTAAAATAGAATAAAATCTTGTCGAGAAAAAATTGCACATTAAGTGAACGCCAAAAAATGTCCATAATAGTGTGGAATATTATTATACTTTATAAATTCACATGCTTTTTTTGAGAAATCGGAAATAGTATAAATTACTACTTCCGGTCATTACTCAAAATTTGACAGAAGGCAGATAACTAGATCTTTTACTTACAAGTAATCACAAGCCCAGGACTGAGTCGCCATGACGTCTATTATCGGCAACATGTCCAACCAAGGAAGACAAACCCCCAACTTCGCAGTGCAACAAGAGCCAAGCAATGTTGCTGAAGACAATGGTCAAAACGGTCCTAGCACCAACACCAGATCAATATTGGCATTGGCAACTACTGACGTCATGTCAGCACTCATCTAAAGTAACAGCGACCCACTCAGTCTGCAGATATTCTTAGTAAGCTACTATCTACAAACATTAAGTATTGCAGATTTTAAATACATGGAAGTAGTAATTGTTATATTGAGCGAGCGTATCTATTCGTATATATATATATATATATATATATATATATATATATATATATATATATATATATATATATATATATATATTTAATGTTCATAAGATAATTTGAAGGAGGGTTAAGCGCCATTAAAATCATACTTGTTATTTAAACCAGCACCACATTACTTTAAAATGGGGTTAAAATAATGCAGCATTAATGCTAATTTTCTTCAGAGTTTAAAGATTTTATTTCCTACTACCTGGAAGTGATTTCTCTCAGCTTACACGATTAGTGCCCTTTCTGTAAAAGCTCAATGCAAATGGTATAATCGCGCAAAAAGTTGAGGTTTCTGTCTATATTACTTTTAATGCTAATGTCAATTTATATTTTTTACCTTTATTCATCTAATTTAAGTTTATTGTTCTTTATTGTTCTTTGTTATCGTTTTCTTTTTATTAAACACGTTTATTTTCTATGCAGAATTGTTCATTAAATGTATTTAATTTTTAGGTGTACTAGTTAGCTCAATATCTTCGAAACAATGCAGCAGAGAGACGCGTTGAAAGGCTTCTACATATTCCTTTGCCATGAATAAACGCAGATCAATATGTTTTGTCAATGCTAATATTGATTTGGTCCTACGATCAAATTGGCTACTAAATATCTAGCTATATAAATATACATAAATTTCTAGGAAAGGAATTTAGATTTGTTTCTATTTAGCCTATTAAATGTCTTGCTGTCGGTTAGTCTAACCTTGATTCTAAAGGTATTGATCAAAAAAATAATAGACCTACTATTTTTTCGTAATGAAATCTTAATTTTAAAAATAACTTGTCTACATGGTATATCAGGCGGTGTAATTCACGAGTTCTGATTC